AGATGGTTCATTTGCTACTGGTACTACAACTATTGGTGTTATTGCTACCACTGTTCCAGCTCCATACACTACTACCTACACTGGTACAAATGGTGCAACTTCAACTGGTATTGTCAGTTACTATCCAACCACCAACTCTGATGGCTCATTTGCTACAGGTACAACTACTATTCCAGTAATCGGTGGTGCTTCAACTGTTCCAGCTCCATACACTACAACTTACACTGGTGCCAATGGTGAAACATCAACTGGTATTGTTAGTTTCTACCCAACCACCAATTCTGATGGCTCATTTGCTACTGGTACTACAACTATTGGTGTTGGTGCTTCAACTGTCCCAGCTCCATACACTACAACTTACACTGGTGCCAATGGTGCAACATCAACTGGTATTGTTAGTTTCTACCCAACCACAAATTCTGATGGTTCATTTGCTACAGGTACAACCACTTTAGGTGTTGGTGCTTCAACTGTCCCAGCTCCATACACAACTACTTACACTGGTGCTGATGGCTCAAAATCAACTGGTATTGTTAGTTTCTACCCAACTACAAACGCTGATGGCTCATTCGCAACTGGTACAACCACTTTAGGTGTTGGTGCTTCAACTGTTCCAGCTCCATACACAACTACTTACACTGGTGCTGATGGTTCAAAATCAACTGGTGTTGTTAGCTTCTACCCAACTACCAACGAGGATGGCTCATTTGCTACAGGTACAACAACTCTAGGTGTTAATGGTGGTGCTGGTGCAACTTCTGTGATCACTAAATCTGCTGCTTCTACCACAGTTGTTACTATTACTTCATGTTCTGGTGTTGCTAAATGTACTGCTATTCCTGTTACCACCGGTGTTACTGTTGTTACTGAAACTAAAGGTGGTAAAGTTACTGAATATACCACATATTGTCCATTAACAACAGTTGTTACTGAAACTGGTGCTCATCCATCAGGTTCAGCTCCATTAGGATCTTCTCATACCACAACATATACAGGTGCTAATGGTTCAATATCAACTGGTTTGGTTATTGTTCATTCTTCAACCAATGCTGATGGTTCAGTTCATACTAGTGCTACAACTGTTGCTCCAGGTTCAGGTCATACATCAGGTGTTCCAGCTCCATATACTACAACATATGTTGGTGAAAATGGTTCAACTTCAATTGGTGTTGTTTCATTCCAAACTACTACTAAAGAAAAAGGTTCAATTGCTGTTGCTACTGTTACATTCTCAGCAGGATCAAATGTTGGAAACTCTCATGAAAGTGGATCTAATCCATTAACTCGTGCTACTGATATTCCAGTTCCATTCACTACAACTTATGTCGGTGAAAATGGTTCAACATCAACTGGTGTTGTTGGTGGTTATCCAACTACTAATGAACAAGGTTCTTTCATTTCTGCTTCTACTACAATCCCACTTGTTGAAGGTTCAAACCTTCCAGCTCCACACACTACTGTCGTTAATGGTGAAAATGGTTCATCTTCAACTGTTGTTGTTGGTTTCTATTCAACAACTGATTCAAATGGTTCATTTGTCACAGGTACCACTACAGGTGCTGTTCCAACTGGTGTTGCAGGTGTTCCAGGATCAGGTAATGGTGCTACAACTCAAGCTTCAGGTGTTTCAGGTACTTATCCAACAAGTGCTACAAACAATGCCGGTGGTAACACAGTTTCAACTGTTTCTCAAGTTGCAGCAAGTGGATCTTCCACAGCTACTGTTTCAGCTTATGAAGGTAAAGCAAGTTCTATGAAAGTTAGTGGAACATTATTCTCATTGATTTCTATGATTATGGTTCTTTTCATTTAATGATTTCTTTAAATTTTTTGTTATTTAAATTGGTTTTGGTATAGAGTTTGGTTTCTTCGATATGGAATTTTTAATCATTATTTCTACATGGACTTTTAGTTTCAATTGTCTTGAATACTGTGCATCCTTTGGTTTTAAAGGATATTAAGGTTGTTTGAATTCGAACATACCTTTACTTTGAATCAAATGTTTTTAATATGCACATTTTACATTCTGTTTATAAATATTATTGATAATAATACGTTATTAGTAACTAAATTTCTGTACAGCATGTAGTATCAATTTAAACAATTCATAATTTGAGTACTTAGAACCATACAAATCCTCTTACTTCAAATTCTCGTTATTCAACTTGTTAGTATTTTCTCATAGTAAAACAGATTTGAGATCAATTAATACCTAATAAATCCGCGAAAATAACCCTACCGCGATCTCGAAAAAAGTCACATGACCAAACTTTTTTTTTTTTTTTTTTTTTTTTTTCACGACTCTGAAAAATTTTGTGTTGTTTGGTTGGTGAAGAAAAAAACTTTTCAATAATTTTTCAAATCCTTTTCTTCTTGAAAACTTTTTTGTTTTTAAAAAGATACCCATATTACTAACTTTAAAATAGATAAAGATGTCTGCTCGTCCTCAAGTCTCAGTTTACACCGCTAAAGGTGAAGTTTCTCAAACTTCAGTCCCATTACCATCAGTCTTCTCTGCTCCAATCAGACCAGATATTGTTCACTCAGTTTTCACTTCAGTTAACAAAAACAAACGTCAAGCTTACGCTGTTGCTGAAAACGCTGGTCACCAAACCTCAGCTGAATCATGGGGTACTGGTAGAGCTGTTGCTCGTATTCCACGTGTTGGTGGTGGTGGTACTCACCGTTCAGGTCAAGCTGCTTTCGGTAATATGTGTCGTGGTGGTCGTATGTTTGCTCCAACTAAAACCTGGAGAAAATGGCACGTTAAGGTCAACCATAACGAAAAACGTTATGCTACCGCCTCAGCTATTGCTGCTTCAGGTGTTCCATCATTAGTTTTAGCTAGAGGTCACCGTGTTGAAGAAATTCCAGAAGTTCCATTAGTTGTTTCATCAGATGTTGAATCCATCACTAAAACTAAAGAAGCTGTTGCTGTCTTAAAAGCCGTTGGTGCTCACAGAGATGTTGTTAAAGTCTTAAAATCTAAGAAATTAAGAGCCGGTAAAGGTAAATTAAGAGGTCGTCGTTACACTCAACGTCGTGGTCCATTAGTTGTCTACGGTCAAGACAATGGTTTAGTTAAAGCTTTCAGAAACATTCCAGGTGTTGAAACTGCTAACGTTTCATCATTAGGTTTATTACAATTAGCTCCAGGTGCTCATTTAGGTAGATTTGTTATCTGGACTGAATCAGCTTTTGCTAAATTAGATTCAGTTTGGGGTTCAGAATCAGTTTCATCAGCTAAATCAGGTTACTCATTACCATCAAACATTATTTCAAACGCTGATGTTACCAGAATCATCAACTCTTCAGAAATCCAAAACGTTGTTAGACCAGCTGGTCAAGCTACTCAAAAACGTACTCACGTTTTGAAAAAGAACCCATTAAAAAACAAACAAGTTTTATTAAGATTAAATCCATATGCTAAAGTTTTCTCTGCTGAAAAATTAGGTTCTAAAAAAGTTGAACAAAAATCTGAAAAACCATCAAAAGGTCAATTCACTGAAGTTTTGAAATACGATTAGATTGTTTTCTTTTCTAGTTTATAATTTATAAAAAGAAGAGATAAATAATTTGTCAACGCTAAAGAAAATTGTGGAGTGTGTTTATAATTGTTGAATAGTTTTTAATAAGATATATTTCATTAGTGTTTCAATTTGAATATTGTAATTTAATTTAAGAGTCACTATGACCATTCAACACTTTTAGTTGTTTTCTGTATACAGCCTATATAGTCTATAGTCGCTTTCAATTCCTACAACTTTATAGTAAAAACATAACAATTGAATTAAATTATAGGAAGCTTGTAAACTTAATCAAACTTACGTACTATAAAATCATCAAAGGTAATTAGATGGTTGTCGATTGATGACACTCAAAAAAGATCAAAAGTCAATCAACTCAATAACCGATATAATGAGTATCCAAAAACACACTATAAGTGATGTGAAAGTTGTACATTTGAAAAAAATACACCATACACATGATCAGAAATATGCCACTAGTAATGAAACTTTAGAACTCTGACAACCGCACTTTTAGCAATAATTGACACATATTGGAAACGGTAACCTTACAACATCAATGCAAAAAATAATTATTAAGCTGTTTACCAAAAAAATCAAGTAGTGTAGTTTAGTCTGTAATCTTCATGAAGTTGAAATTTCAATGTTGATTAATTTGAAGAACAAAAAAGGGATCGCGAAAAGTTGGTTTACATAAGTAGAATTATAATATGAATTAAATATTATAAGAACTTGTACTTTATATTTGAAGTAGCTGAAAGATATGGTAGTAGAACCATTTGATATCACAGAGAGGCCAATAAAATGCTCAATCTATCCTCAAGTGATACGTTGATTGTTGTTCTCTCAAATTGTTTTGTTCCATAAGTGATCTTTCATATTAGTTTAAAGATGGGAAGTGTACTCCAACTTCAACAGAATTCAATATTTTCAATAGATATCCACATTGGGTTTAGGATACCCAATAAAGAAGTCATTTTGATGAATGTACAAATATGATACAAACCATAATTCAACGCATTCCAGACTTGATTCAAGTTTTTTCAAAAAAAATTGGGAATTATAACTCAACTATCTTGCTCAATTTGAGATATATAACTGAGATATATAAAATTATCACCAAGTTCAACTCAGAATATCAACTTATGATGTTTAAGCGTTTTTTTGAGGTTTTATTTCATATTGGGCTTGTAACAGGTATATATAAGCTTTAAGTTTGGTAATTGAGGTATTTAAAAGAGTTTGATTGCACCTAATGAATGAGTATTCAAGAGTTATTTAACAAAGAAATTAAAATTGAATAATTACAAAATTCAACTATAAATTAACAGGTTATTCTTTTGAAATCCTGAAATTCTATCTTCTTTTCATTCTTCACATAAGTTACTCAGAATATTCATTAACATAAACTTTATACAATGACTATTCCTCAACTTGAAAATCCTACAAACACCACACTTGATGAAAGTGAAATCAATTCCCAACCAACACAAACTGAAACAAACAATACTCCAACTCCAAAAAGTCCCTTACAAGCCTCCTCATCCCATAAAAATGATTCAAAATTCTTAGAAAGATTAGAATTACTCGAACGTTTAAATACAAGATTAGATTCCGAACAGTCAAGATCAATCCTAAATGAACCACTTCAATTACCATCATTCAATCCTATAAGACCATCAGGTCAAACAAGATCAAGATCATCATCATTTGAAACCACTCAATTCACAATATTGGAAGATTATAATCCATCATCAAATTTTATTTATCATGAACATATAAGAGATTTAACAGCTTTTAATAAATCTTTAAAATCATGTCATAAAAAGGGGTATGGACCTTTAAGAACAATTGATATTTCAAGAAATATTGATAATATCCCAGTTGAATATAGAGATTATTATTCTGAAGATGAAGATGATTTTGAAGATGATTTGGAAGATGATGATTATTATTATTATGGTTCTGATGATGATTCTTCAAATTATAATGATGAAAATGCTATGCCATCAAATTGGACATCATAAATATTTACTTTGATGGTTAATATCAGTTGATATTTATTACTTCATAAGATCATATAAAGAATAGCGCTAAAGGGTGCTTAAAAAGTTCAATCAAATGATCTCTTAATATGAAGTATACACCATCAGATTACCCACTTCAAACTTCAAATATATATGATACAATCTTCACTTTCATATATTTCTATTGTTCCTATTGTTCTCATTTTTGATTTCTGTATATTGTTGTTTGATTAATATAAAATTTAGTTTAAAATACATTTGTAGATTTAGCGCGCTAATACTTTGAATACTAGTAAATTGTACTTAAATGAAGTCAATGAATGGAGCGCTTAAACTGATGATCGTATCTCATTACCATTATCCAATCATTTTAAAGAGCTTCATACTCTAGTTAACCAAACGCGTTCATCATTCTTCAATAGTAGTTCTAGATTCGATCTTCAAGTATAATTACATAGTAATAACTCCTTCAAATATTCCATTAACCCATTCTTCAAAATCACCATGAATTATGAAAACAGTAATAGATGTTATATTAATATAGCTACATGTTTATAATTATAAAATAGGATCTAAACCATTTATAATAAATCTATAAAACGAGTGATGATAACTCTGGCAAAAAAAAAAAAAATTGTAACCCAATAATTCCTATAATTTGTAGTACCTAATTAATAGTATAAAAGTATTTTCCCAAAAATTGATGAATATTGATCAACAAAACTTATGTTCAACATATGTTTCTCTATAATTTGATCATTCAAGAAGTATATGAAATTTAATTTTGTATAGCATGAAAATGAAACCAGTTCAAAAGCTATTGATATATCTGATGATGATGATTAATTTCTTCTAGTAGTCCATGGAACTTTAACATTTAAAAATCTTAACCAGTATGAATAACTTTTTGAAATCATATTACCAAAAATTAATTGTGATAAAAATTTAACCAAAAAATTTGAATTATTAAAGATAATCATTGAACCTAATGAATTTTTGAAAAAAGTTTTTCTTAAATTAGATCTTAATTTATTTGAAGCTTTTGGATCAAATTCATCTAATTCATTTAATTCATTTGCATAATTCATTGCAACTTTATGACTTGATTCTTCCCATTGTGAAATATTTTGACGATTTTTCAATAATAATTCATAATCTTGATGAGCTTTTTTAATAGTTGGATATTGATTTATAATTTTTTGTAATTCTAATTCATCTTTTGTTAAACCAATTGAATTTGTTTTATATTTATTTGAAAGATATTTTTGATATGAAGATTCATCAAATTTTTGTTTGGCAATAATATCTGAATCTTTTTCAGCTAATCTTAATCTTGATAATGGAGATTGGAAAACATCAGATAAAGATAATGAAGCACCACCACTTGATGAAGAATTTAAAGATCTTGTTGCATTAATTTTGGAATCTGATTTAGTACCAAAATATCTAATTGAATTTGAAAAGATTGATTTGTTTGAAATTAAATTTGTAGTTCTAATCATGTTGTGTTGTTAATGTATTGTTGTTGTTATATTAATGTAATGTAATTCTATAATCTATTTATAATGAATGTAAAAGTTGGAATCTATGATACTAATATATCATTTCAAATCTGATTAATAAAAAGGTACAAAACGATTCTTTTTATACAAATTTGATTTTTTGCAAAAACATCAACACTTTTAATTTTTAGGTTTAATCCTGCATTTAACTTCTAGTTTTCTTGCAAAAAGTCTTGTTTTGATTTCTTTTGAATATGTTTTTCCATTCAATGTGACGTAACAAAATTTAATAAAAAAATTAAAAAGCGTCAAATTTGGTTAATTAAATTTAAAAATGACGTATTTTAAATAAATAAAATGTGCCAAATTCAATTTTCTCAAATTAAGGGATATGGGTTGGGCACAATTACCCAATTGGGAGCGGAAAAACACGAAAAAATACACCGAAACAAGTAATTTAACTACATTCGTCATGCCGCGTGGTATTTTTTTTTACATTTCGTGGAATTCGTGAAAATCGTGAAAAAATCGTGATTTTTTTAATTTTTAAATACAGATATGATGTAATCTGGACCTTAAGGATTATCTAATGAATTTTTTTTATATCTTACGATCTAATCATATCGTACTAAAAGATATCAAAATCATAGAGAATGATAACAAGGTGGCGCCACTAGAACACAGAGATCTTAAGATACAACTCCTTGGAACACAGCGCTTCTTTCTCTCTACACTTTTAAACTTCAAAATGGTTTCATATTTGTATCAAGAACCTTTCGATTCAGCGGTTAACTGATGTATGTGTTTCAAAATTAATTCCGCAGTTTTTTCTTTTGGTTAATTTTAATTTTTTCAATCATTTCTAGATATGATAAGGAATCAGGATTCAGAGGATCAAAAAAAGTGAAAAACGAAAAAACAGGAAAAATCAACAAAAAAAGCAACGAGAAACACCCAAATTAGGAAGTTAACCACATTCGGGTTCCGAGTGATTATATAATGAGTTATGTAATTCACGTGCCGTTTAAGCGCCCTCCTACCAAAAATTGAGCAAAAATGGTAAGGTTATGAAACACTTAGTTCTTTAACCATTAAAATAAGAAATGTTTAAAGCATGTATAAAGTGTTAAATGATCAAATGTTTTATATATCAAGATTAACGGTTATACTTTTGGTACTTTGGTTATCTAATTACTACTCCTTAAATTCTTGATTATTCTTGGTACAAATACTTAAGATTTGTTTAGCCTATATTCAAATAACTTTAACGTTTCTTAGGTCTTGTCATATAATATATTTGGCTAGATTGTATTGTAAATCATTTGTACTCTTGGTACCTGGACGTCGGACGAACAAATTGGTTATTGAACTACTTTTTACGATCTTGAATTGATATATGAACATACTGGTAATTCTAGTTCTACTTTGATATACAAATTAACGCGGACCCCTTATGATTAAAGAGGAGTTTATATAGATAGATAGATAGTACAACTGTGGACACTGATCAATATTAATCCTTGTACCTACTACTTTCTATTGATTAAGATTGCTACTGATCTTTTTAATTTGAGGTACTTATACATCATGATTAGAAGTTATACATTTTTAGGTGATCTTTGATCAACACAGTTTAGTTAATTTAACCTTTTAACCCAGATTGTTTTAGCTTGTTTGAATCAAATCATGATTCAGTTGAAATGATTCAGTTGATTCATGTCAATTTAAATTCAACTGGAGATGATTAACAATACCATTTGGGACTTGGACCTTGGCTAATTGAGAGCAGAAAATTGAATTATACATAATTTGTTCTTGAATACTATAGCAAATTGTTATGATTGGTATATGTTCCCTTTGATAGCTAAATTAAACTCATTAATGAGTTTGTGAATATCCATACCCAACTGGTGAGTGATATCGTTGATATTTCTTTGTTTAATTTTCTGGAAATTCTATAATTTCTGGAGATTCAGTTGATTCATCTGAATTAATTCCATCAGATTTACTTTTAGTATCATTTGATGATTCCGTACCAACTTCTTGAATAGCTTTAATTAAACTTCCAATATCAAATTGTTCATCATCTTTGGCACCTTTAGAGTTTTCATTTTCTTTTTCAGATGATTTATCATTGTCATTAGATTTTTCACTTAATTTTTCAATAAATTTGAATAATTTTCTTCTAAATTTACGTTTTTTACTTTGTTCAGTTTTATCAACTTCTGAATATGATAAAATTCTTTTAAATTCACCTTTGAATAAACTTAAAATTATTGTACCAATTATTAAACATGGTGAAAGATATAATAATGCAGGTTGAGGTAAATTTGAATAATGTAATCCAATAAATGTTAATATTAATCCAATAATATAACTTAATATCCCAGTTAGGAAATAACTTGGATCAAATGAATTTATAAAACTATAATGGACTTTAGGAATCAATTCATGATGTTTAAATAAATCATAACGATATAACAATGCAATATAACTACCTGGAATAACAACATCACCTAATCCTAACATTGAGAATGGTAATTTAGGAACAATATAATCAGTTGTAAGGTCAATTAAATTTTCAGTATAATTTTTTCCAGATGGTAATTTAATCATAATTGGAATATCAATATTTTTAGCAACAGAAACCATTATATCAGATCCGAAAACAAAATAAATATCATAAAAAAACAATCCAGATAACATAATAAATCCAGCTTTAAATGAAGATAATTGAAGTTTTTTAATACCAGTAAATGCAAAACAAAATGCAACAAAATTTTCATAAATCCAATCAATGTGAGTTGGAATTTCAGATTTTGATATCGAATAATAATTGAACCACATTATGAAAGTTGCTATTAAAACCAATATATCCATGAATGATATATAAATATTGACAATTTGATCTTTTGATTCAACTTCAATAGGAGGTTCAAAATTTTCATCAAGTGATGGTAAAAATGGTCCAGCTTTAGATTTAGATGTTTTATATAAAGGATTTGCTTCAATTTCTGAATTTTTCAAAACATTATTATCTTGACTTAAAGTAAGTTTAAATCTTGGTATATAATCCATAAGTTTATGATTTCCATGGCTTTGAATCATAATTTGTAAACAGAAATTTGTAATCCAAAATTGGTAGAAATCATAAATAGCAAAAATACTGAAAATTCGTGTATATTTATTGAAAAACCATGATATATCTGATTTTTCAAAATTATTTATACCATAATGGATTGTTAATAATGAAGTTGCGGCTAAAAATGGTATTGACAACGCAAAAATTTCATCAATTATAGGTTCATATGAACTATCTGTTGAATTAGTTGATGAAGTAACAAGTTTGGAATAATTTGGATGTGATTTATCCAATTTTGGTGCATTTTTAGGTCTAGTCAAAGTAGCATTTGCAGCGGCTATTATAATGGCTAATACAATAATGACCAATACCAAATGAGAAATATAAACACCATATTTGTTGTTGAAAATTTGATAAGTCAATTCAAATGCCTTTTTATCCAAAAGTGATAATGAACTTGATTTTGATGTTGCATTGGCTTTTAATTCACCAATGTCATCGATTAAGCTATTCAAAGTCTTCAACGTCTCGAAAAACTCTAAGTATTTGCTCAATCGTGGATCAGAGCAGAGCGCTTCATCTGTAATGTTACTCTCCATCTTCACAATCCCTGAAAGATCAGTTGTGGTGGTTGAATCGAGATCCTTTGTTGTATAATTGTTTTATAAATTGGATCTTAAAAGATCAGGATCCTTAGATTCATTTATATATAAAAATGAATTCGCGTAAGATTTTGATTTTCAAAGTTAATATTTAAAGGGAGGAGGAGATCAAGGAAGTCATAGTTTCTTCTATTTAATAGATAATCACATCATTCGTCACCAGCGCGTTGATTACCAGGATTCATTACCACCATTTATCACCAGGATTATTCATCATCAATTGTCGCCATGTTTAGTATCGTTACTATACCATGTATACCTCGTTAATGTTAACATTCATGTGAATATTTTCTATAAGTCGAATGTAATTATGAATCTAATAGATATATATGATGAATTGCAAAATTATTCCCTGCATGCAATATATACAAACTGCAATGCTCAAATTGTTAAGCTTGATGTGTTTTTCGCCAAGACACTCGCTTCAATACACACATTGTCTATTCTTTTTAACCTATTTGTAGTTTTAGTTGTAGTTGTAGACCCAGTACTTTTCTTTGACCATTCGCGAGCTCTTCTGCTCCATATCAAAATTTCATCAACACATTTGCTCATCTCTTTTGCCATCAACTGTACTATATACAATTCAATCTCAAAAGATAAGAAAGAAAAAAGGTTAAAGATGTTTAGAAACTCTATCAAATCAATTGCTAAATTAGGCTTCACTTCTCAAAGATCATCAATCTTAAGAAATACTACACCAAGATTATCTTCATTCACAAGTATAAGAACCTATGCAAATTCAAATTCAGATTCAAATGAAAAAATTGTATATTTATTTCAACGTTATCCAGATGTTATGAAGTCCCTTGAAGAATTCCATAAAATTAGAATTGAAACAGAAGATGGTTTAGATCCACAACAAATGAATGAACAACAAATTAATAAAGTCTTGGAAAATAAAGAATTTCAAGAAGCTTTTGATAAATTTAGAGAAGAATTAGGTAAAGTTGAAGAAAAAGATCCTCAAGGTGCTCAAGAATTAATGAATTATATCTTGGATCCTTCTTTTATGTCAAAATAAGGTAAAATTTATGTATATAATATCATATTCAGATCAAATCATCTATTAACTATAAATTTTTTGTACTTATACTTTATTCCAGCGAGCCTGGACAACTATAGTATAGTGTACATTGGTACAAATCGCCAAGTTTGTCATAATTCCAATCTACAATGCAATCAATATGTAATTCAAAATACCTAAAAATACATTAATTATTATCTATATTAAACAAAGTTTATAAATAAGAAAAAGACATAAAAATCATCAAAACGAATATAATAAAATTTTAAACCAACAGATTGAAAGAAACGACTATGATATATAATTGATGAAAAATCCCACATTTTTATAATCAACTATAATTCACAAATTCTAAATTCATTTCTTTAAATTTATTTTAAATTTTTTAAAATCTTTTCTTTATCTTCAGTTGAAAGTAAACCAATAACTTCAGCTAACCCACTAATAGCTGAATCATGATTACTTCTAATTAATTGAGCAATATTTTGTGCAAATGCTTCATCTTTTAATTGTTTAACAGATAAATCTAATTGTTCATGATTTTCTTCAATCCATGTAGCAACACTTCTATCATCTTCAAAATCAATTGAAGTTGGATACCATGATCTTAATCTTGCAACTTTTTCAATTCTTGTAGATTGTTTTAATTCTTCACCAATACGTTTAATTAAATATTCTTCATTTAAACGACGACGAATTCTCCAGAAGAAGAAACGACGAGCATTAACCCATTCTAATTCTTTACGAATAGTACCTTTAGCAACCATACGACCTGATCTATCATGTAAATCAGCAAATTGAACTGAAATTTGTTGATAAATTGGTAATAATGCACGTTCACGTGTAGCTAATTCAGCTGAAACTTTAACATGATCTTCTTGTGATAATGATGGATCAGTTAATTTTTTCTTTAAATCACCATAAGTTTTATCTAATCTGGTCATTGTAGCTAATAATTTTTCTCTACGGTATTTAATACCAACCATACCTTCTGGTTCTAAAACACCGGCTCTTGATTCAACATCAGCATACATTTCCATCATATCAGCATTAATGGTTGGATCAACAACAACCCATGAACCACCTCTTAATTCACCAGTTGGTGGAATATATGTAATAATTGGTTGTTTATAATCAACTAATGCATCAACAATAAATGAACCATATTTCAAAACTTCATTATACATATCACGTTGACCACCAGAGAAACCTCTCCAATTAGCTAAAATCATTAATGGTAATTGTTCACCATTGTTGAAATCATTAATGGCTTGTGCAGTTTTGAAAGCAGAATTTGGATACCAAACTTGACCAGCTTCTTGAACTAAAACTTCAGTTGATGCAGGATTAGCAGGATCAGCTGGAATTAAATTTTCAACCATTTGAGTTTCAACACCAATAACACCAAATGGAATACCACCAAGACGACCTCTACCAACAACAACACCTTTAGCCCAACCTGATAAAGTTTCTTGGAATGAGTTCTTATCAAATAAACCAGATTCAAAAGAACCATCTTCATGTGAACGACCTTCAATCATCCATCTAACATCATATGGTTCATCACTTTTTGGTGCATAATCAACATCTCTATCCCATGAATCTTCAGCAGATTCTAAAATTGGAACTGGCATGTTACGTTTAGCTGGAACATATGATAACCAATTCATAATTTGTTGAACACCAGCTAAATCATCTGGAGCAGTTAAATGAGAAACACCATTTCTGTACATGATTTGAGTACCACCTAATTGTAAATTAGATGAATAAACTTCTCTACCCAATAATTTATTGATAGCTGGAGCACCAGTTAAAATAATTGGTTGACCTTCAACTTGAATAGCTCTTTGACCTAATCTAACCAAATAAGCACCAATACCAACTGATCTACAGGTGACTAAAGTAATGGTGAAAATATCCTTGTAAGCTTTTGAAGTGGCACCTGCAATTAAACCAGAACCTCTCAAACATTCAACACCTAAACCATCTTCAGCACCAATAATAGCTTTAATGACATATCTAACTTGACCTTCTTCAACAATTCTTTCAGTAATGACATTTTTACTTTGTTCATTCTTAGCTAATTCATCAGCACCTTCTTGAGTCAAGTATAAGTATTGGAAACCTTTTTCAGGTTTACCTGGTTCATTCCAAGCAACTTGATATAATGGAATTAATTCTTCAGCAACACCAATTCTAGCACCAGAGTTAGCTGATAAGTAAATTCTTGGAACACCTAATTTTCTAGCTAATTCAGTAATCTTGTTAAAGAAATAATCTTCTTGTGGACCAAATGAACCAATCTTGTAAGTAATATCATTAGCAACAATGATGATTTGACGACCACGAGGATATTCTGGTGTTTTAACAATTAATTTGAAACCAACCATACCAATGTTATTTGCACCTGGTTCACGAGAAATTTCAGTAACTTCATCACTATCATCAAGAATCAATTCAACAGCATTGAAGAAATCATCTGGAACTTTAGCATCTGGTGCATATTTTTTCCATTGAGCTAAAGTTGATTGACGGAATAATTCTGGGAAATCATAAACATATGTAGTACCCATTAAATGAGCTTTATAACGTTTTGGTTGTAACCATTCTTTAGCAGGATATGGAGTTGAAATTGGTCTTAAATGCATTGAACCTGGAGTACCAATAGATTTGAAAACCCAATCACCTTGACTGTTTTTAACTTCAATGTACAATTCTGATTTAATAACATAACCTGAAACATTGTTAATCATGGCTCTTAATGGGAATGGAACACCAGTCTTTGGATCATTACACATAATTCTAATTTCTGCAGCTGCAACACGTAATCTCCATAATCTTCTACCAAATCTTTCTAAGAAACCACCAAAAGCAGCTTCAACATCTTCTGGTAAAACGTTGAAAACAGCAGAGAAATTAATGAAAATATGATTTAAATCAGAGTTAGAAGTATCAATAACTTCTAAAGCATCCAAAATATCAGACATTAATCTATTAGCTTCTGAAGTTAAATATTCTTGGATGGTAATATCATCTCTAATACGACCAGTTCTGATAATACCTCTAGTGAAGAATCTCTTATCAACAGCAGAGTTTTTACCAACAGCTTCATAAACATGTAAGTTTCTGTTATCAGTGAAGACTGGTTTAATATTGAAGTTTGATAATCTTCCTAATTCCAATTGGAAAGCTAAAGCTGGTTCAATATGACGGATTGTTTCATCTTCTTTATAATCTGGACCTCTGAAAGTATAGTATTTTGGATAAGAACCATCAGTACTACCAAAGATAAAAGTAATACGACGAATTGAAGTAGCAACTAATTCATCTTTAGCATCAGTTAAGATTTCATTTAATTTTTCTAAAATTTCTTCTTCAGATTCAAAACCATCAGCATTAGCAACAACAACACTTGCAACATTAGCCAAGACAGCATTTGAACTTGGAGCAGATCTATCAGGAGCAGGACCTCTTGATGAAGCATCAGAAACACTTGAAGAACGACGTGGAACTTTTTCTAAACCTCTAACTAAAGCATCTTCAACATCATCTAAATGATGAGCTGGAACCAAAATACCAGTTCTTAATGGTTGAGATTCATCATTTGAAATAAATGTTAAATCAGAAACTGAAACAGCTCTACCCATTGGTGATTTACCTAATAAGTTCTTAGATTGAGGAATAGCATTGAAAGCAGCAGTTGATAAAGATGGCAATTGGAATTTCCATTCAACAGCTGGTGAACCATTAGTAGTATGATAATTCAAGTTACCAATAACGTTATAAGCACGATAAGCACGACGAATATAAACTTCAGCGGCAGCAGAAGCAACAAATGGATCTGGATGAACCAAAAATTGAGTCAAGACATCAAAAACAACATATTTAGAATCAATGACATCTTTTAAAACTTCTAATTGAGGTTCACGATGACCACCACTTAATTCACCATAACTAGTTTGAGTAACTGATGATTTTAAGATATGTTCTAATTGATCAGATCTTTCTTTGATTGATGGTAAAGCACATTGAATCAAGATTTCTCTAGCTTTTAATGAAACTTTAGCAGTTGGTCTTGATTCTAATTCAACAATTTTTTTCAAAACGTTACGTAAAGCATCTGCAACTTCAGAATTTTGTTGACATAATGGTTGATAATGTTTCAAAATGGCCAAGATCAAGTTATTCTTAGATGGAGCTCTTGAATGTGATAAAACAATTGAAACAACTTTTGATAAGTCTGCTTTATTTTCATCACGTAATTTTAAAACAACATCTTCTTCTCTTTTATTATGACCACTGAATAAACTTTCAACATTATAATATTCTAATAATAAATTAGCAAAAACTGAATGTTCATGAGATGATAAACCATCTTGATAACGTTGAGTGATATCTAATAATGGTGCAATAACTTGACCAAATAAACCATCAACTTCTGGGGATGAAGCAGTTTTTTCCAATAATTTTTGTAATTGTCTAGCTGGGAATGGAGCTTTACGTTGTTCAGATCTTGAAATTAATGAAGTTAAATCAGAATCTAATTTTGGTGGTAATCTTGAATGTAATGCAGCAATTTGGAAATTCCATTCAGAATATGGTAATGAAGGATCTCTTAAAATTTCAATTAAACTTTGTAAAGTTGCATTCATAACAACTTGATTATCATAACCACCTAAAGTATGTTCTAAAGTTGATAATAATGATCTAAATTTATGAACTGGTTTAGAACCTTTAACAGTTGGTGCACCAAATTGTGGCATAATACCTTCAAATGGTTTAGCATGTTTAACTTTTGATGGATCATCTAAAGATAAAATAGCCAAGATATCACCAGCTGAAACATTTGAACCTGGTTGTTTAACTAATTGAACAATACCATTTTCTTGAGCAATCAAAGGCATTTGCATCTTCATAACTTCAACTTCAGCATATGGTTGACCAGCATCAACATGTTCACCATTTTCAACCAAATATTTAACTAATTTACCTGGTGATGGAGTACGTAATTGAGTTGGATCATTTTCAACTTCTAATAAACAAGTTTTAGCATCAACAGATAATCTGGTTGCACCAACTTGTTCTTTCCAATAAACAGTATGAGATTTACCACCTAATGAAACTAATAAAGAACCATCAGATAATGGTTTAGCACCAATTTCAACTTTTGAACCATTGATAAATAAAGTATAAGTTTCATTTGCAGATTTGGCAGCAGTGAATTTATATTTATAACCTTCATAAATGAAATCAATTGGATAAATAGTTTTCAATAATTCTTTTGAAGAAACTTGACCTTTTTCCAATGAAGCAATATATTGTTGTCTTGCATCTTCAGAAATAATATGAGCTTTAGTAACAGCACCACATAAAACTGCAATATTTGGATCTGGTCTTTCAGCAGTTAATTTTTTGGAAATTAATTCATCTAACCAACCAGTGGTGATTGTATTATCTTCAAAATCTGAAGTTTCCAATAATTTAATTAAATATTCAACAGTTGTTTTAAAATCACCTCTAATAGATAATTCTTTTAATGCAACAACCATATGTTTTCTTGAAGCTTGTCTATTTTCACCAAATGCAAAAATATGACCAAATTGAGAATCAGAAAATGAATGAATACCACCTTGATTACTAACAGAGAAATAACCCCAAACATTTGAAGAAGATCTGAAATTTAAATCATGTAAAGAACCACCTGATGGTTTGAAACCTTCACCAGGATCTTCTGAAGTAATACGACAAGCAGTACAATGACCTTTTGGAACAGGCTTTCTTTGAGAAGTTAAAGATTCTTGATTTTCAAAATTGAAATCAATATCAGTTGAAGTATGAGGATCAACACCATAGTATAATCTAATATCTCTAATTCTATGCATTGGAATACCCATAGCAATTTGTAATTGAGCAGAAGGTAAATTAACACCAGTAACCATTTCAGTAGTTGGATGTTCAACTTGTAATCTTGGATTCAATTCTAAAAAGTAAAATTTATCATCTGAATGTGAATATAAATATTCAACAGTACCAGCTGAAACATAACCAACTAATTTACCTAATCTAACTGCAGCTTTTTCCATATCACTAAAAGTATCACTTTTAGCAACAGTAACTGGAGCTTCTTCAATAATTTTTTGATGACGTCTTTGAACAGAACAATCACGACCAAATAATGAAATATTTTTACCATATTGATCAGCTAATAATTGAACTTCTAAATGTCTTGCATTACCAGCTAATTTCATAATGAAAATTGGAGAACCTGGAATTTCATTGGCAGCTTGATGGTATAAAGAAACGAAATCTTTTTCATTTTCAACTTTTCTAATACCTTTACCACCACCACCTTCTGAAGCTTTAATCATAACTGGGAAACCAATTTTCTTTGCAGCTTCTAAACCTTCTTGAGGATTGTTAACACAACCTTTTGCATAAGTTTCATCATTAACAGAAACTAAATTAGTTCTGACATCTAATTCAACATCTTTAACACCGGTACCAGACCAAGGAATACATGGAACATCAGCATGTTGAGCAACAATTGTTGAAGAAATTTTATCACCAAGAGATCTCATAGCAGAACCTGGAGGACCAATGAATAAGATTTTCTTTGGAGAAGCAGCTAAATTTTCTGGTAAATGTGGATTTTCTGAAGCATGACCCCAACCAGCCCAAACTGCATCAACATCAGTTCTTTCAGCAATTTCAACAATTAAATCAACATTTGCATAATTGTTATTATTTGTACCACCTGGGACTTCAACATATTGATCAGCCATTCTAATATATTCAGAATTAGCTTCTAAATCTTCTGGGGTAGCCATTGCAACGAATTGAATAGCTCTTTCATTACCAAAAGTTTCATAAGACCATTTTCTAACAGATCTAATTTCTTTAACAGCAGCAATACCATTGTTTGCAATTAAAACTTTTTGAATAACAGTATGACCACCATGTTCTCTAACGAAATTTTTAACTGGACCTTCTTCAGCAACATCTAAAGTATTTCTACCAATGAAATGAGAAGGTATTGAGTTATGTAAATCAGAATAATCTGGATATGTATTTGTTTGAGGAGCTGCAACTTCACTCAAATTTTCTTCACTCATATTGTAATTGTGATTATAAATATGGGTTTTATTGTTATTTTTATTGTTATTATTTATTAATGTATGATTAAATCTAATAAAATTCTTTGTTAATGTGGGATTAAAGAATTTATAATTAAATTTTGATTGATGATATAAGTTTAAATATAAATTAGGCCCCTTTGGGCAATTGATTAAAACTTTAGGTAAAAATCTATTTGCAAAAATACTGAAAGAGTTGTAAAAGTTAGTAAAACAAAAATTCTTTTGAAGTTTAAAGATATCAGATATATCAATTCAATTGTTGTTTCCTTGTGTGTCTTGTTCTCGAAATTTCAATCCAAATCCCACCAACGGTTTTAAACTTTCACTTTTCCAACCATATCAAAATTCCCAACAAGTGCCAAATCCGAGAACAAAAAAATAAATTTAATAGAAGGAAAACACGGTAAAGACAGCACTAGCGATGAGGAACAAGACACGAATAACGAACGACAACAACGACAATAATAATCAATAAAAGATAATTCAATTGATTTATTGATAATGTCTGAAATTGAATTGAAATGAATTGATCTAACCGCTCTGTTTTGAAATACTCACTTTAATCAGCAAAATATATGCTATAATCTGCCAATTGATCTATAGTGAAATGTATAGCTATAATAGTATAATGAACTAGCCGCTGTGATGAATGTGGGTTCTATGAATGATACGTTGTGGGGTGTGTATCCTTCCAATGGAGTTCAATTGTCTATCTAGTCAATTTAAAGATTTAGAAACAGAGTAAAGATCAAAATCAAAAGAATTTCTTCTGGTTTTATTGAATTGTTGATGTACTGAATGTGTGGTGTTGCCCCGACCGCTCTGGTGATTGTGTTGGGTTTACCCTGTTTCACTACTGCAACGCTTAACTAACTAAACTTTTCCCAACAAGAAAGTGCAATTGTTGACGTCAATTTGATCTCTTGTTCATACTTAACAAGCTTGAACTAATGTTTACTATCTAGTCAATGTTTGATCATCTAGACTACAGATATACACCGTGTACACCGGATTACTAGTTATGATGTGTTATCCAACAAAATAAATTGTTGTGGATTGAAATAATAATTGTGCTATTCTAATTGTTTCTTCATTGAAAATCAGATTTTGATCTTGTCTTGACGGGAGTCGGATTAATCTGAGATTTTAATTTTAAGTACGATCAACAAAAAAAAAATTTGGTTCCTGAAAAAAAAATTGTTATCAGTTTTGTATGCGCGAAATTTATATTATATAATCTCGATTCGCGACTGGGGTTAAAACAATAGAACTTTTATACGTATTATAAGAATAAGGATACCCAAGCAGACCCCTTGAATAATATATAAGCTGTTCTCTATTCATTGAAAATGATTGGTAATACTCCAGGAAGAATCACTGAAGATCAAGTCATTCAAAATTTCAAAGATATTCATGGATCCAATGAGATTGAATTCCCTAATAAAGATTTTGAAATATGGAGTGACTTCTTTCACCCTGATGTAAGAGATCATTTAACTCAAACTGATTTATTCAAAGCTGGAATACTCTCATATGATGTAGGTCAAGCTTTGTTAGATATCAGTGGTGCTGCCCTCATTGAGCTCTACTTAAAACTACCAGAGCTGAATATAGGAACCAAGGAAAAATTTCAAGCAGCTATATTATATCACAATACTCAATTATGTGATGATGATCCAGCAGAATTCGATCTATTGTCAGATAAATCGTACTTTTACTTTGAAGACTCAACAATTGGTAATAATCACATTGCTGAAATTTTCTCATTTGATGATCAATTTACTTCTGCTAATATTCGTTCTGGTCTTGAAATCATGAAGAGAAAAATTTCAAAACTTATGGAAATTCATAAGGATGATAATAGTTCCATTGGTAAATCTGTAAGAATAAAACTTAATTTTGACATACATGATTACATTAAATTACCAACCCATAATGACTACTCACAATATCGTTATTATCGAGGGTATGAAAGTGAATATAAACAAATTTTAAGATCAGTATTGATTCCTTGTATTAAAAAATTTAATCTAATTTTCAATGATAAACTTAATTACTTAACCATTAACGA